TAATTGTGGCAGATGCAGTATAGGTGACTATAAGCATGGTTGTCTGGAAACAGAAACAGGTAATACTATAATTAGCAGGGTCAAAGATAACTAAGCAACAATCAGAACACATCATCTACTCAGACACAGCAATATTTTACAATGTCCACTAGGGGTCGCCGTAAGACCAGAAGTTGGCTAAATAGCACATATCTTCCCAGTTGCAAATGTTAATAACAATTTAGCATCTTTTTACTGTCTTGATGCATACTAAATCATCCAGGTATTAAAATCCCCAAAAGATTCTGGTCATCTGGACGTAGTGTTCTCAGTGGTAGAAATGTTTCATCACTCATCAAGTGACTTCTTCAGTCTCAGCTGACTGCAGGTTTCCCCAACCTTATAAACAGTACAATTGCACAAGGACTTGAAACGAGCCCACAGAATGAACGGCTGTGAGGTCAGTTTAATGATCAAGACGATCATTAATATGCAAGTTGTCATGACCACTGATCAAAGACCATTGATCAATGGTCATTGATCCATTCACATACAATTTACAGAGAGCTGCACTCACAGCATTGTAAGATGGTGAAAGATGGACCATTAGGCCCCCTCCTCAATTGAGAGATTGTCTTTCCCTTTTCACAGGTACTGCTCCTCCTTGGGGAGTCAAGGAGGTCTTTGATCAATGTCTATTGATTTGTGGCAATATATATGTATATGTGTGTGTGTGTGTTTATGCATATGTGTATGCTGTTTTTTTTGTTGTTGTTTTTTTTCATTTGCCTCTTTTATGGGCCCCCCAGCTGTCTGTGGGTCCCTGGGCATGTGCACAGAATGCCCACTGAAGTATCTTTGCCATAAGATTTATTTAAAAATTGGGATTTAGATTGACCTACTTAGAAACATGGGCTATGATGTCAGTTTCTTTTTTCGTTAATATGCAAATTTGATCAAAGACCATGGATCAATGGCCATGAGTACCAATAATGGCTGCACTCACAGCACTGTAAGATGGTGAAAGATTTACCCATAGGCCCCCTCCTCGATTCAGAGATTGTCTTTTCCTTTTCATGTAAATTACCTCTTCAAGGAGTCTTTGATCAGTGGTTATTGATCAATGGTCATTACAATCTGCATATTAAATCAAGGAACTGACCTCACTGCTCGCCGTTCATTCACTGGTTTCAGTCATTGTGCAGATGTACTGGTTATAAGGTTGGGTAAACCTGCAGTCAGCCCTTTGAGTGCTCCAGGAGAGTAGAAAAGCGTTATTTAAGTATCAGTCCATTTACCATTTAGCACTCACACGGTGTTCCTGAAACACTTTCAGTTTTACTAACAAATGTGAGCAACATGCTCACAGTGTACAGCGCTGCTAGATTCTATTTGCTCACAAGTGTATTTTCCTGCTATCACATTAGTAACAATTTTCTTGTGTCCCACTGTTCCTCAAGACTTCCTTAGACAATATGAAGTGTGAGGAAGAGGAAGGTCTGGATGATTGGCAGGACTTCAGCCAGGGGAGGAATTCCAGTCTGGACCAGGAGGACCCAGAGCCTCCACAGATTAAAGAGGAACAGGATGAACTCTGCATTAATCATGAGGGAGAACAACTTGTAGTGAAGCAGGAGGCCGAAGGCATCATTGTCTGGACTGGGGAAGAGCGGCGCAAACTGCTGGATACCATCTGGAAACCGGAAATAAACCCAGAGAGCACAGGTATGTAAAAACACTCTCTCCACACACACACACACACACACACACACACACACACACACACACACACACACACACACACACACACACACACACACACACACACGGAACACCTGATTGTTCTGTAAATAGTTTTAAATGTTTATTTAAAAAACCGTCTTGGCTGCATTTTTAGGTAAACAGCTGCAAAAACTTTGTTGTTTGCATAACTCAGTTACTTTTTTGAAGAAGTAACTATAATTAATTGCCCAACATTTACAGTTACAGGACTCTCTCCCAGAGCACAGACTCATACTCATAATACAAGTCAGAGCTTTATAAATAAAAAAAAAAATAAAAAAAGAAGAAGAAATTTTTGTTTTCAAAATTGGAGTTCAGTTATTTTTACTTCCAATAGTGTTAACATACTACCAGTGTTGGGTAAGTTACTTTAAATTAGTAACTTAGTTACATTACTAGTTACTGCTATCAAAAGTAACTCAGTTACTTTCAAAGTAACTAGTTACTAGGGAAAGTAACTTTGGTTTTACTCAGAATTCTCTTGTTAGTGTGTTGCTTCCGTAACTGGATACCCAGCAAGATTGCCAGTCTTCTAGCTTGCTTACTTGCGCAGTACAAGTGCATTGTGCCACCTACCAATAGAAAGGAAAAGATAATGTGCATATTTCCATGAGAGAAATCCCACGCCTGGACCATCGTTGACCCTCGCCATGATTCTAGCCTACGTCACAACGTCACGTGCGGTTTTTACATCCAACACGAAAACTGCAGTCGTGGTGCTTTTGATTGTACTCAGAACTCGGAAATTCTACCTTCCAAATAGGAAGATGTAGGTAACACCAGACTGCAGATGAGCTGCATACAGGGCTGGACTGGGACAAAAAATCGTCCCGGGCATTTTGACTAGAGACCGGCCCGCTATTATAGGAAAAATCATAAAGCCGTTGAATGAAAACAAATACTGTTGTGACTGGGGATGGGTACCGGTGTCCGGTGCCATGATGGCACCGGTTCTGACATAAACGGTAGTAACCAGACCGAAAAGCAGCGCACATTTCGGTGCTTTATTTCGGTGCTTTTTTTTT